TTTGATTATTCCCAGTAGAAAGATTTCAGGTTTGTATTTTATCTGTTCTCCTGTAATTTCTTATACCCATTTCCAAATTTTTGTCCAGGGATGTTTCTTCTTTTGACCAAAATGAAGAATATCAAATCTATTTCTACAAGGGAAAAATGAGAAGTAATCTACTATCCTTTGTAAACATAATGTCAAATTAATTATATTTCCTCTTCAGACGCAGAGGAGTACTGCTTAATGCTCAGTTGCCACACTTCAAATAGTTCACAAATTATAAAATTGTGTAGTGATATTATTTATTGTGATGTATTGATGGTTACATATACTGGGTTTCATTTTGACAAGTGATTGTGTCTTGATCTCAGATATCAACGAATGCAAAATGATTCCAAGATTGTGCACCTATGGAAAATGCAGAAACACCATTGGTAGCTTCCGGTGTAAATGCGACAATGGATTTGCACTTGATTCTGATGAGAGGAACTGTACAGGTAAATTTCTTGACTTCAGATGATGTTTTGTTTCTTCTTGCAACTTCTGGTGAAATATTCTCCTATTCTACTGCTGGGTCATATTTCTTAGCCAGTGAGGAACTGAGAAGTCCCACAGCATCCACAACCTTTAAATGGAAAATAATCAGCTAAACTTCCTAACATCAATGGGAAGAATTAGCTCTTTGTTTCTTTTCTGTCAAACACAGGAAATCAGGAGTCCAGGCGGTTCAAATGAATTTAGGTTTATTGTATGCTAATCTTCTCTACAAGAATCTTGTCAGACTTTGTTGCATAAATTCAAATCCAGAAGCCCACACAGATAACTGGTTCAGCTGGATTCATTAACTTCTTTATATACATAAGACTAGATGAATAGATGTACAATACCAACAGGTGGTTCTTCCAGGAGTTACAGGCAAACACAAGCAGCTAGTTTCATTTCAGCAGACAAGCTTAGATAGATGGCTAGTTTACTTCTCACAGCAGCAGACTGCTTAAGTTTNATTCAGCAAGGCCTGGCAAATAGTCTTTCAAAGGAGTAATTAGGACTACAGACCTTATCTATCTTGGAAAGCTGCCATGTAAATATTTTCCAAATGCAATGATGTGCAAGGAAAGACTCTGGGCACAGAGTCTCTGAGATTCACGGACAGATCTTCACACTCCTGAAACAAATCTAACGACTGAACGAACGAATAGTTTCTTGCAAAAGCCCACTCCCCTTTCGCTCCTCTCTTATGTCCTATGGGAGGGGCCAATCACCTTCCACCTGTGGCTTTACTCCCAAGTCTACCCTGGTTTCTGAGTTGATCTTTTCTATGGGCAGCTCTGTGCATGCGCACCCTGGAACAGGCTCCAGCTGTTCCTCTGCCTCACTGCTGTCTAGCTCTGTAGGCATCTGATCATTGCCAGGCCTCAGCCCCCTCTCTGCCTCCACAGAGCCCTTCTCCAAGCCTTCCCCAGCCTCCAGGACTGGCCCATGCTCCTCCCCAACCTCCTCACTGTCCGAATCTGCTGCTACAACGAAGTCCACACATCACAGGTTTCTCATATCAGAATTGTTGCCTCGGTGTAACAGTCACAACCAGTAGAGTAATAAAATTGGAACTTGGTTCTCTGCTCCCTAATTCCCTCAATCAGTTTCAACTTCCCTAACCTGTTAGAAGGGATGAGTAAAATGCTACTATCTCAAGAGTGCAATCTTTTTGGTATTCCCCAGAAATGTTATATTCCAGAATGGTATATTTACACCCTTCCCCATCTGTGACTAATCTGACAAGAGAAGAACATTTACAGGACAGGTCTGTCTTTCTCTTGTTCTGTGTTCTTGCTGAGATGTTGGGCTTGGGAGGAGATGCTAGGCACTGACCTAGATGTGTCTTCTCCAAGGAGACCAAAGAAGGACTAAAAAACACTTGAAGGTTCTTCTCCCCCCTCTGCTTCTGCCAAGGGTGGTCATGATGGGAATTGGAGAGGAATCAGACAAGGGCGAGGACCTAATTATGAGTCATATCTTCTTTGAAACCCAAAGTAACAGTTGCCAACCTGTAAAACGTCCATCATGGTTATTTGTTTTAGCTAAGCCATTCTTATTCAAATGGAATGTTATTTCAGTTAAAGCCATTGGAAATTGGTGGCTAATAAATCTTCTAAGAATCGGTGTTTGCGCCCAGCACAGGCGTTATTGTCATTGAATTATCTCACTTGACTAAGCATTTTATGACTCACTAATCAAAGCAGGGTGGGACACAACATGAACTATAGGGAAGATAAAGAAAGGAAAATATCCCAGTAAAAAACAGACATAATATTGAAAAACAGCCCTATTCATATCACATCAAAAGTAAAGTCCATTGCGTTTAATTATTTTACTTACTACCAAGTATGCTTGGGATAGCAACTTATGTTTCTAACCCTAAGCAATAGATGGAAAATAAGGAGAAAATCAAGCTAGAACTAAGGAGAAATTTCCTGACAGTTAGAGCAATTCATCAGTGGAACAGCTTGCTTCCAGAGGTTGTGAGTGCCCCATCACTGGTGGTTTTTAAGAAAAGATTGGACAACCATTTGTCTGAAATGATATAGGGTTTCCTGCCTGAGCAGGGGGTTGGACTAGAAGACCTCCAAGGTCCCTTCCATTATTCTGTTGTTTTGATTAATGCAAGCTAAGTGCAGTTGGGAAGAAATTACTCAGGATGGTTCTTCTTCTTCTTTTTTAGCAGATTTTTTAAAATTATTTTTTCCCTTCTACAACATCTTACAGTCAACATTGTTATGTCATCCTACCTGTACATGTATATAATATTTCGCTTCTATATTTACACACTTTATACACACAAATACACACACACACACACACACATAGTTTTTGGCTTAATTAATTTTATTCTTGTTTTGCAGCCATTTGTACCAATTGTTCTAAATTTCATCATATTCCGACTCTTCTTTATCTTTTAATTTCAGTCTTAATTTGTCCATCTCTGCACAATCCAAAG